TGCAACAGAAGTCCGTATGATGATCAAGAATGAAGTTTTCTTTGGGCAAAAAGATTTATGAGAAAAGAGAAAGTGAATAATTATTGGGATGAAATAAGAATAAATGTCAAAAATGCCTTTTACTTCCTAAAAGAAAGCTGCTCTGTTTTTAGCTTTCATAGTTTCTTCTTTCTTCTTTTTTAATGTTTCTTTGTTGAAATTGTTATTTGGGCCTAAAGAAATAAAACAAAAAAAGAACAAAATTATTAAAGAGTTGTTTCTTATTTAACATTTCCTTGAATCTTTATTTGTGAAAAAGAGTGTTATGCTTTAAGCAAGAAACAAGAATAGTCATCACTCATCAGTAGATATTTCAGTTTTATCCAAAAGGCATACCATTTTTTTTTTCTTCATGATTGAAGTACCTCTTCATCAACTCTTCTTTAGAACAAATTTTGTGAGAAAGTAATTAGAAATTTTCAAAAAATGATAATAAGTATATAACTATCTAGTGACAGTATAATATCCCAACAAGAAAAAGTCAAAAATGATACAACTACAACTACTGATGTGCATGAATGAACAGAGTCAAAAACTCCCGACCAAACCTAACACTCACAGTGATATTACCTTCGAACTTTGGTATGACAAATCAAAATGACCTATGATCATATGATGGCAACGAGCTCGTGGAAACTGATAACTGAAATTTTTTGTTATCTATTGGCTTTCCTTGACTTAAAACTCCCTATAACGTTTTCCAATTCTTTCAATTTATGCATTGTAAATAACATTCTTTTTAATTTGTTGAAAGAAATTTAATATTATTAAAGAAAAAGTCAAATTGGTCTATATAATATCAAAATTTTCTGAATGTGTTTTTTTTTTCCTTTTTTTTTTCTTTTTTGTCAACGGATTATGAATTTGGTACGTGACAAGTTTTTTTGTCAAAGAAATTTGGTACGTGACAAGTTTCTATTATTTTGAAAGAGATTATGAATTTGTTACAAGACAAGTAGTTTTAGTTTCTGTTTGGGGTCCAAAATAATATAGATACAAAAAGTCTCACATACAAAGAATTTATCTGATATTTTTTATGTGAAAATGAAAAGATAAATAAGGAAAATAATGTCTGTAAAAGAAACGGTCTAACAAACAGTCAAACACAGACAAGAATCTCCATGAAACTTGGCGTTTAACATTAAGCAACTCTTGTTACCAACTAATATTTACTTCCCCTAATCCTCAAACAAAGATAAGATAAAACTTTATAATACAACACACAATATTCCACAAAACCTAATTATAGGGTTACCACATTGATCTATTTAAAAAGATCACAAAGTGCATTTTGTAATTAAGCCACAAGATTCCTTCTAAGACCATTAACAAAAAATGGCAGGAGGAGCTTTTGTATTAGAAGGAGGAGGTGGTGGAAGAAGTTATGAAGGAGGAGTCACAGCATTCGTTATCATTACATGTATTGTGGCCGCCATGGGAGGTCTCCTCTTTGGTTACGACCTTGGAATCTCAGGAGGAGTTACATCAATGGAGGAGTTTCTTACCAAGTTCTTCCCTCAAGTAGAGAGCCAGATGCAAAAGGCGAAGCACGACACGGCTTATTGCAAATTCGATAACCAAATGCTCCAATTGTTCACTTCTTCTCTCTACCTTGCAGCTCTTGTAGCTTCCTTTATGGCTTCGGTTATAACTAGGAAGCATGGACGTAAAGTCTCTATGTTTATCGGTGGACTTGCTTTCCTCATCGGTGCACTTTTCAACGCATTTGCCGTTAATGTTGCAATGCTCATAATCGGTAGACTTTTGCTCGGTGTTGGTGTTGGATTTGCTAATCAGGTACGTGAGGCATTTGTTGCTTTCTTGTGTATCATTTATTTATGTGGTTTAGGTTGATATCTCAATCTTTTCTACTTTTGTTGGTGCAGTCTACTCCGGTATACCTATCGGAAATGGCTCCAGCGAAGATAAGAGGAGCTTTAAACATCGGTTTTCAGATGGCTATAACGATTGGAATCTTGGTGGCTAATCTGATAAACTATGGAACATCAAAGATGGCTCAACATGGATGGAGGGTTTCTTTAGGTTTAGCAGCTGTTCCAGCTGTTGTAATGGTGATTGGATCATTCATTTTGCCCGATACACCAAACTCGATGCTCGAGAGAGGCAAAAATGAGGAAGCAAAACAGATGTTGAAGAAGATACGTGGAGCTGACAACGTTGACCATGAGTTTCAAGATCTCATAGATGCTGTTGAAGCTGCCAAAAAGGTGGAATATCCATGGAAGAACATCATGGAGAGTAGATACAGACCAGCTTTAATCTTCTGCTCGGCGATTCCCTTTTTCCAACAGATCACTGGAATCAATGTCATTATGTTCTACGCTCCTGTTCTCTTCAAGACTCTTGGTTTTGGTGACGATGCTGCTCTTATGTCCGCCGTTATAACCGGTGTTGTTAACATGCTCTCAACCTTTGTCTCTATTTACGCGGTTGATAGATATGGAAGGAGGTTGCTTTTCCTCGAAGGTGGCATTCAAATGTTCATTTGTCAGGTAAAAATAACAATCAGGACCATAGTCTAATGAAACAAAACCATTTCCATATATATACCTAATCACCAAATGACTTAATGAGTTGATCATGTTTTCTTTTTTTTTTTTCCAGCTTCTCGTTGGTTCTTTCATCGGTGCAAGATTTGGAACCACAGGAACCGGAACCTTGACGCCAGCAACAGCAGACTGGATTCTTGCTTTCATATGTGTGTACGTTGCAGGATTTGCATGGTCATGGGGCCCATTGGGATGGTTGGTACCGAGTGAAATCTGTCCATTGGAGATTCGACCAGCGGGACAAGCCATCAACGTCTCGGTCAACATGTTCTTCACTTTCCTCATTGGTCAATTCTTTTTGACAATGCTTTGTCACATGAAGTTTGGTCTATTCTACTTCTTTGCAAGCATGGTTGCGATCATGACGGTTTTCATTTACTTTTTGTTGCCGGAGACCAAAGGTGTTCCTATTGAAGAGATGGGAAGAGTTTGGAAGCAACATTGGTTCTGGAAAAAGTATATCCCAGATGATGCAATTATTGGTGGACATGATGATGATAACAATACCAATTAAGAGGAATTGGATCTGTTATATGTCGATATTTGGGTTGTTTTCAGGAAATAATTATTATCGAGACATTTTGTTTACCTGATTCATCTTATAAATATATATATATTTAATTTATTTGGGGCTTCTTTAGTCTTTACATTCATCAGTTTTTGTTTTGTTTTTTTTTGGAAAAAGGGAGAGACAAAGAGAATGCTAAACTCACATTTGTATACCAAAAAGTCAAAAACACGCCACATAAATCTATAGTTTCTATCATATAATTTTGAAATTCAACTTTCATATTACACGTTACCAGTTAATGCACAACCACAAGTTTTAGAGGCAAGGAAACAAAGTATATGATCTCATGAATCATGATGATTTAGTGAATTAAAAACTCACTATGAAGTCAAGTTAGAGGACCCAAAAAAAAAAAAAAAAAAAAAAAAAAGTTAGAGGACCCGAGTTCTGTTCTGTAAACGATAAAAGATTATCCTATGCATGCTTTACAAGAAAATCCAACATTACCCAATTGTGTTGATTCCACAACCAAGTTAAAAAAGTCATGGTCTTATATAAAAAATAATAAATTATTGAATATGTTACGTATGTATATATACTTTTTAAAAATAAATAAATAGAATTTTAATATCTAAAATTTTCTATAAGAATGTAACATTTTCCTAGAATTATAATCTATAAAATGAACAAAAAATGTATTTTAAATCCATGAAAATTTATAAATCTGATATCCACAAAAATTTATAACATTCCTTACTTTTGTCAACAAAAAAAAAGTTACTTAAGACTAGTCCTAGGTGTTCGGTTATCCAATCGGTTATCGGTTCAGTTCCATTCGGTTTCGGTTATTTTGGTTCTAAAATTTAGTATCCATTTGAGTATTTTGAATTTCGGTTCGGTTTCGGTTCGGTTCCGGTTCTTTCGGTTTTAAAATTTAGTATCCATTCAGTTATTTTGCTTTGAATATTTTCGGATATTTTGGTTATTTTTGGGTATTTTTAGATATTTTTAGATATTTTTCGGTTATTTTCGAGTATTTTTACTATTTATATATATATTTCAAATATTTTTGATTATTTGGTATATAGATAACTAATATTTTTGAAAATATAATTGTATTTCGGATATTTCGGTTCGGTTACGGTTATTTGGGTTATAGAATTTAGCTATGTTGCATGGAAACTTTTTTCAAGGTCCGTTCCCGTTTCCGAAACGTTTCAGAAACGAAAACTCTTCGGAAACACGAAAAACGTCACGGAAACGCGTTTTCTAAAAATCTATGTTTGGAAACACGATGGAAACTCACGTTTCTAAAATGGAAACGCGACAAATCCTTTTTATTGACTTTGGAAATTTAATAAATAAAAGTTGAAAAGATCAAGATTTATAGAGTAATACATATCACTAATTTTGGAAGACTCTGAGTTTTAAGATTTTTTTATCGACAAACTAGATTTGGAGGCATCTTTATATGATCTACGATGAAAATAATGAAAATGAGAATGAAAATGTTGGTCTAAATTAAATATTTGAACTTAACCTTTTAATCTTTTTTTCTTTTAGAATTTTAGTTAACCTATATAATATTTGATGTTTTGGACTTGTATTGTTTAATTAAACTCTTTTTATAGTTTTATGTTAATGTTATATATATACATATATTATATATGTGTATATGTTTCCAATCCCTAATTTTATAAAAAATCGTTTTCCGTTTTCGAAACGTTTCGTTTCCACGTTTCCGTTTCCGTTTCCATGCAACATAGGAATTTAGTATCCATTAAGTTATTTCTAAATATTCAGTTCGGTTTGGTTCGGCTTTTTTGTTTCGGTTTTGGTTCGGTACATTCGGTTCGGTTTATTTGCCCAGGGCTTGACTATAAATGGGCTTTTCCATGGGCTTCGGCCCAAATTCTAATAATCATGGATTCTGAAATTGAGTCGGCCACATACCAAAGAATTATTTCTCTCTCTCCTCTGACGGTTCTTTTCTTCCTTCGTCCTCTCGTTTTGTTTCGTCGTCTCTCTCTCGCGCTCTGAAAATTTCGCAGAATCCGTCATGTCTTCCGGCGTAAATTCAACTGGCTCCGCCGCAACAGAACCGGAGGTCGACAAGATGTTCTTCTGCTACCAGTGCAATCGCACAGTGACAATCTCAATTTCCTCATCCGCTGATCCTTTTTGTCCAATTTGTAACCAAGGGTTTCTTGAAGAATACGAAGACCCTAACCCTAATCCATCCCTCAATTTCAACCCTAACTCTGTTGATTCCCTTTTCCCCATGGCTGATCCTTTCTCCACCTTGCTCCCTCTCTTATTCGGCTCTTCCGCTGCCTCTCCTTCCGGCATTGACTTGATGAGCTCGAGCTTCTTCGCTCCGTCGATGCAACCACAGGCTCGCTCCACTCAGCAGAATCCCCAGTCTGACGCGTTTGATCCGTTTACGTTTCTTCAGAATCATCTCCAGAATCTGCGATCTAGCGGTACGCACGTTCAGTTCGTGATCGAGAATCATCCTTCGGATCTAGGTAATCGTATGCCTGGGAATTTCGGTGACTACTTCTTTGGTCCAGGTCTTGAGCAGCTGATTCAGCAGCTAGCTGAGAATGATCCTAATCGTTACGGAACTCCTCCTGCTTCCAAATCCGCCATTGATGGGCTTCCTACTGTTAAGGTAACGAAGGATATGTTGAAATCCGAGATGAACCAGTGTGCCGTGTGTATGGATGAGTTTGAGGATGGTAGCGATGTTAAACAGATGCCTTGTAAGCATGTCTTTCATCAGGATTGCTTGCTCCCGTGGCTCCAGTTGCATAACTCATGTCCGGTTTGTCGATTCGAGTTGCCTACGGATGATCCTGACTATGAGAACAGGACTCAAGGAATTCAGGCGAGTGGCGATGGACAAGGATCGGTTGAGGGTCAGCAGACGCCGAGGTTTAGTATACAACTTCCTTGGCCGTTCAGGAGACAAGATGGCTCTGGTTCTGATCCTGGTTCTGGCTCGGGAGCACCTGGTGCCAGTGGAGGTAATCTTGAGACCAGGGGGGAAGATTTGGATTAAGGTTTGTATTGTCTTCTCTCTCTTTTTCTACTCATCCTCTGATATTACCTGGAGATTGTGAAAGGTACAAAATAATAGGTTGTGTGGTTGCAATAACATTATGAATGTGTAGTTATCTACTGGAAAGTTTTATTCGCGCCATTGCATCGATAATCTTATAGCTTGAAATTGGAGTTTCATAGGCACAAACTTGTAGATAGCACTGAAAGTTGTTGGTTCGTTCTTGCTCTTGCTACTCTCTCTGTTAGCAATATATTTCCTTGCTAATTAGATATCTTCAGGTTTCTGAGCTAGAGTCAGAGGTAGTTTAAAGAAATTTGACTCAACAGGATACTGAAAGTACTTAGCTTAGATTACTTTAAAGCCTTGTAGAGAAGAAATAGTTTGTTGTAGCATAAATTAGGCAACTCTTATCTAGATCGTGCATATATGAGTTCCTTGATTTTTGTGTGGTAATCTATTATCTTGAATTCTCTACAAATTGTTTTTTTTTTTGGATTTTGCATGTGATATTCTCAGCAACTTGGTGATTAGCATTTCTTCTATGTGATATGAGAGTTTCAATGTGGATAGCAACATGGGGAGAACTTGTATGGGTATCTTATGAGGTTTCTCACTGTCACTAGCTTAGCGCGATGATGAGAAATACCTGTGCTGGGTAATGTAATAGCATCTCTTTCTTTCGATTCAAAGATGTTGAAGAGGTGGAACTGATTAGTTGTCATCGGGAATGCATAAGAGTTTCAACTGCATATGTCCACTTGAGCATAACTAAAGAACTAGTTTGCTAGCTAGATAAGAGTCCGAGATTAGCATAAATAGTGGACTTAAGAGACTTCTGGGTCATCGATAAGTTAGTTGGGTAGAGGCGGTCTAAGGTTTGTACTAGTTAAATCTTTTGAGAAATATCAAATTGGTGCAGTTGATTGATGCACTGCACAACCACGTATAAGCAACAAAGTTGTTTCTTGATTTACGGATTCTGGCTAATCGATTTGTTGATACTTATCACACTTCAGGTTTGGGAAGACCTTTGTGGTCGGGTTTTTGGAACCAGATTTTGTTGGATCCATGAGGTTTACATTACAATGCATTGAATAAAATCAAATCACTTTACCTTTGTTTGGCCTAACGCTTTTGCTGCTTTCATTTGTGGTGCAGAATGTGTTGGCCAGGGTCATTGCTTGGAAACTGGATCAGAAGGCTATCACAAGTTCTCCAACAACAAAAAAAAACAGTTTTATTAGGGAAACAAAAGTGACATTGAGGTCTTACCATATTTTGTACATTTGAAAAGTGTTCTTTTTTCGTTGTTATTTTGGGATATATAACGAATGTGAGAGTTTTTAAAAATTGCAATTTTTCATTTGAGTGTTGTTTATTTTTCTCATAAACACATTGCCATGAATGGGGTCAGTGAAATCGAGACCCCAAAACCCAATTTTTGATTTTAAAAGACATTAAAATCTAAGCATTTGACATATACAAAAATGGGACACAAAAGCATGATAGTATGAAGTGGCAGACAAAGGTGATTGATAATTATGTAAAAGAGAGAGATAGGCGGGGCAAAATACCCGGAACCGAAAAATCCGAAAAAATATCTGAACCGAAGCCGAACCGATTTTTAAAAATACACGAATGGATCCTAGACCCCTACCCGAAAAAAACCCGAACCGAATTCGAACCGAATCCAATACCCGTGGGTACCCGAATACAAATATACACCTAAAAATTGGCCTGGGAGTTCGGTTTTGGGTTTGGACGTTTATTCGGATTTCGGGTTATTCGGATAGAACTGTTTAGAATCCGAATGGTATTCGGCTCGGATTCGGTTTGGGTTTAATTGAGTTCAGATCGATTATGTAAAATTATTTGTAACTCGAGAATAACCAAAATTTTTATTGATGGGATCCAGTTCGGTTCGGGTTAATAATTCGAATTAACCCGAAATAAACCGAATTAACCCTAAATAACCCTAAAAACTCAAAAATAATTTTGAAATTACCTAAATTGCAAATGTAAATCCGAGACATGTTGAAGTTCAATCTTACAAAGTCCAAACATTAAACACTTAAAGTCATAACACATAATGAAAGATAATAATGTCTAAAAACCAAATTCAAACATTAAATACTTAAAGTCTTAAACTTGAAACTTGAAGTTAAGGTTACTAAAAACCTGCACCACATAACATCTGGTCCAAATATCAATCTCCCACCAAGGACGAATTTATGAAAAAGAAGAAAGGCAATAGCAAATTACATTAACTAAAAAAACAGATCAGCTCTAAACAGACTTAACATTACTCTCACACAACCGAACAAACCTAAATTACTCTTTGTTAAAGATGATCATAATCTTTCTTATACCTAAAAGAAGTTCAGTACTCATGCAAACTCATTCATGTTTAGTTCAGTTATAAATATTTATTATACAAACAGTTAAAATCATTTTAAACTAAGTGTATTGAACAATGAATTTAGATTTTAGAGTGATTTGAGTTTTAATGAGTTTTGAAATGATTTTGGTGAATTAGGAAATTTGTTATTAAAATTTCATAAAATCTTACCTAAAACCATGTGATTTGGATCTTTTTATTTTTAACTAAGAAATCCCCTAAATCTCACTTAAATCATTCAAATCCACTAAATGTTTTACGTAACAGTGGATTTGATTATTCATTTTCAAATCACTAATCCAATAACATTTAGTTTTAACATACATATTATAATTTATGTTTGAATAACATAGGATTTGTCATTTAAATAAAAATCACTCCAAATCTATCTTTTAATACACCTCAATTTATTGCCAAAAGGCAAAAGATAATCACATTTTAATAGATATATGCATGACTCAGATTTCAGAATTTGCCTATATAAGAAGCTTCAAATTTCTAGAACTACTTCAAAAACATCCACACTTCACAAGATATTAGTGATTAAAAAAAAAATTCAAAGAAACAACTAATGGATATTCGAAGATCTCCATATTCTTTCATTGCGGTTTCTATCGTTTTAATGTTCTTGATCACTGGTTAGTCAGTTACATAAATAAGATTAAATGTTTATACTTACGATATAATATACATTATCCACTGTTAATTTTCAAATTTTTTACAAGCATCACGAACGAATGTTCGTTGATTCTTTCTCTTCCCACAAAAAAAAACTCATTGTGACTTATTTAAAAAAATTATAATATGCATTTAGAGATATTAATTGCAGCATATATATTTATAATAATGTATGTTTGGTTTTTGGTTTACAATTACAGGAGCAAAATCAGAGATAAAGGATATTTGTCGAGACAGAGGCTGAGATGCCCTTATAAGGGAAAAGAAAATCTCAAAACTCCTTCAATGGTAAAAAGACAAAATTACCCTTAATGAAGGTTGTTTTCGGGTGTTAAGGGTTAAATATAATTAAATCGGTAAGTGTTCAACGGAAAACACAGTAGCTCAATGGTAGCGAGCTCCGCGCGCATGTCCATGGTTCGAATTCCACTAAGCGGGGTGTAACTAGTATTACTAGGGTATATCTAGGTATTACCACCTAATACTAGGTAAACATGGTATAATTGGTAATACTAGGAGATAGTAATACTAGGGTAATACCGGGTAATACTAGAGAATACTAGGGGATACCAGTATAATTGGTAGGTACAAATAAGGCGTTCAAAATTCATTTAACAAATATCAAAGGGGTAGTTTCGTCATTTCATTAAAACGAGGGGTACTAAAGATTAGTAGAGGGTTTTGAGATTTCCAGAATAAATTTAGGGGCAATAGAAAATGTTAAGTAACCTTTTATGAAATACTCTTTGTTCTTACTTGAGTTTCATTGCACAAAACAAAGAAAACAGAGATTAGGGATCATGACATGCAATTATAAGTGAAATCACAACAGAGAGAAACAACGAACGAGAGAAGCTTACAGAGGCGTCAGAGATTAGAGATCTGTCGAGCTGTCTCGGAATTGATTTAACTTCGTGCCTAAATTGGCAATATTAGACAAAGTTTGCGATTTATTTGGATATCCCACAAGAGTTTGAGATTTTATTTCACCATTTTGAAAACTGAGACTTTTTTTCGACGATAATTAAAGTTCGGGATTCAAATGACATTTTTTCCAAAATTAAATTGATATAGAAAACTTTTTTTTCATTGCCATGAAAAAACTGATTCATGACAGACTGACAGTGTAACTCTTACACCTTCGTAAACTATGTTTAGTTTCATCATTAAGCCACTAATTAGTCTAATTGTCTTAATGTTTTAGGAAAGCCCAATAAGGCCCAATATCCGAAAGAGAGTAACCGTGTTTTCATTACTCTAATAAGCCCAGTAACTGTGTTTTAATTTAATTTTTGGAGTTTTCGTTATTCTCCTGGAATTTTTGAAGATGGTTTCGTTTCGACAAAAGAGGAAACAAACATAGAGGGCGATTGATGAAAAAAGAAAGAACAAGAAAAGAAAGAGAACTACTTTTTCGATTGTTAATAACTTCTCGGTGATTCTAGGGTTCTAAACTCTTAATCCAGATTTTGGGTACGCACGCAATTATGCAGGTAAGAGTGGGATTCATATATCTGGATTGGGAAAGAAGGATTCAAAGTAGCACTTGGTGCAAGCAAGGGGTTGTGGCTTATCTCCATGAGAATGCTTCCGATCATACACAGAGACGTTAAATCCAGCAACATACTACTTGATGAAAGTCTGTCGGCAAAGGTTGCAGATTTCGGCCTATCCAAACTTGTGGGAGAAGCTCATGAGTCAACTCAAATGAAAGGAACCATGGTAAGTAGAGATATCAATCATGCTTATTTCTCTCTTTATCACATACATCTTAACTCACAATATCTCTGCAATTAGGGCTATATAAAATCCCGAATACTACATGAAGAATCTATTTGTCCAAGAAGACCGATGTGTATGCATGCGTTTGGAGTGTTGATGCTGGAGTTATTAACCAGTAAAAGCCCGATTGTGAAAACTGAGGAGAGGAGAGGCCATCGATGGGTGAGGTTGAGAAAGAGATTGAGAACATAATGAAGCTTGCGGGGATAAATCCTAATGTTGATTCAGCATCTGAGTTCAAGAACATACGACTATACGAGGAAGCAAACAGAGGATCGGATCATCTTTATGGCAGTGGTTGATTTGGTATGTTGTTATGCGGTCGCGAATTATAAAGAAAGAGGAATGGCGCGAAACTTGGTAATATAGACACTACTTTTCAAACATAAGAGGAGCAAGATCCATGTAATGAATATATATTAAGAATCGTTGAGAAGTTTGTGTGGTTTTAAAAGATTGGATTCACATAAGACACAATTTTGTACTAATACTGACATTTATGCAGGGGGAAATGTTAACAAGTATCAAAAAATTAACTGTTTCACAACTCTAACTCTTCTACTCTCTTCTTTTAACTTCGACCACAACTATCAAATGGCACTATCTCCTCATAGCTTGGTACATATTGTGCATTGAGACATCCGCTAACTATGTGGTTCTGTCCACACCTTCTGACAACACTTTGTCCAAATACGATGTTTCCGCTGTTATCTCCTGATAACGCACCTAACATGGAAACGTATATGAACCAAATAACAAATTGACTTATACATATGAAATACCCTTCTAACCGTTTACTTGTGGAAGCTGCAAAAAACACTTATGAAATGGTACAAATTCGAAGAAAGGTATTGGATTGACTATTACATTTGACTTCACATTCCTGGATTGGACTCAGATGTTCGATCAAGGCATCTGGGAGGAGATACTTAAATTTACACCAGATGGGGTCCAATCGATCGGTCAATCGACCAAGTGGTCGATCAATCTGCCCTGCGGTCCGTCTTATCTAGCCTTTGATCGGTCGATGGGTCGCTCGATTGCTCTTCGTCCGTGTGGTGCTGTTGGCTCCCATCGACCACCCCATCGATCGGCTGGTCGATCAAGTGTCATTCTCTCTTTGGATCATCTTTCTTTGTCTCCTCTTCTTCTCTCTTGATTCTTCCTTGACTTGTTTGATTCATTCACTCTCTTTTGGCTCAAAAATCTCTTAAAAGAACTCCAAATCTCTTGATCCACTCCATGGTACCTAATGATTCGAGGAGAAAGTTTAAGGCGGGGATTCATAACCACAAAATGTCAAGCAAAGGGTTCAAGTCAAAGTCCATGAAAATTTTGTACTTCATCATACTCATCTTATAGCAAAACTCTATTTCAGCCCCTAACTATTACTAGCAAAGACTAGCAATCAAATTGAAACATCTCTTCCACATTCATTTAAGTTTTTGGCGCGGTCTCGCAAATGGCAAGTGAATCATTCTCAATTGGTTCGGGTGAAAGCTTTTGAGGTGGTTTCGAAAAGATTTAAAGATTTGGTGGCTTACTCTCAAGAAAGGGAATGCTAGACAATAGTGAAATCTATCTAAGATCGAGAACAATTTACGCATACAAAGTTTAACTCTTGTTGTTCTACCCACCCTTTGATGTCAATCTCCTATTTCTACCCTTTCTTAATCACCATCTCTTTTCCTAATCAAACCCCAAAACTTTTAGACATTAAGGCCTTTTCCACTCTCCAAATTCTTGATCATTTCTCTTTTCCACTATCCGCATCTTCTCCAAAATCCAATAACACGTCTTTCAATCCTTGGAAGAGGAAGCACAACTCGGTTACCGTAGTGGCGGCCGTGTCACTTCGCCCAAAGAAGGCATGTGCAATGAGCTTCAAGACGTAGCGGATTACGGGATGACGGACTCTCTTAATTTTGGCGGAGCTCCCAACAAAGTACCCGTTAGCAATCATATTCCAAAGCTTGTGAATCCCTTTGAATTGTGGGAAACACATAGAGTTGTTGTTGGCGAATCCATATGCCTCACAAAGGTCGGGAATAGAGATCGAGTACCCCATGTTCTTGATCTTGAAGTGGAAGATCCCTTCTTTGGCTATTGGAACTTTTGGGTTCGCGAATGTGTATTGCATGGTGAACAAGAAGTCCAAGGTAGGCAATGGGAACGTGGGAACATCCATTGTCCCGAAAAAACTAAGTCCCATCTTCTTTAGAAGCTCATCAAATGTATCAAGCACTCCCATCCTCTCAAGAATTGCGCGGTTTGCAAAACGCGTTGGGAGTGGCATGACTTGTGACATCTTGCGACGAGCCATCTTCTCTTCCGTGGTCCAATGAACAACCGGTGTGGTTTGTGTCTCATTTGCGGTTGTTGTTTTCTTTTGCCTTTTGGGTTGTGATTTTGTTCCACCCGCCATTGTGCCTATAAGAATCTCAAAACAAATTTAGTGACAAGAGAAAGAGTATAGAAGACATAATAGTACATGTCTCAATTGTCACTAAGACACTTAAGCGAGACACAAAGTGGTAGCCATTAGCATTGTTAAACTCTTAAAAAACAACCACAATACACAACAATACATAATTGATGTTCAAATTCTACAATACACTCACATCCTCATGAACACTTAGAATTTCCAATTGTGTAAACCTTTAAAATGTAATGAGTGTAGAGAATTGAAACCAAAGAGTAAGGTAGCACTATTGCAACTCAAGAGTGAGACATGAGGATCAAAAGCCCCAAACTCCCAACAATAATTCACCAATTCGTCACTTTTCTAACCCATGAACCCTAGACCATCAAAACTCAATTTTTCTCACCAAAGCTTGCAAATTGAACACTAACAATCCATACCCAAGCATCACAAAGTCCTAAACTAACACAAAAGTTACTAATCGAGCTCTTAATCGACCGATTTCAAGAAACTCTAATTTTTAGAAACTTATGGGAAGTTAAAGAGAATTGAGAAAATAAGAACTTACCTTGTGAATTAGGGAAAGAGATAGCTAGAAACGTGATCTTGAGGAGAAATTAAGTGAATTTGGACTTTGAATTTTGAAAAACAAGTGAGAATTGAGAGAGTTGTGTGTGTGTGTGTGAAGAGTGAGAGAAGGAAGAAGAACCAAACGAAGAAGAACCAAAGAAAAAAGAGGAAGACTCGTGGGTTTAAATTTTTTTTGTGTTTTAATTTTTTTTTTTTTTAAGAAGGAGAAGAAAAACTTACCTGGGGCGTGATCAACCGATGGCTTGGTCGATGGGAGCTAGGACGTCGTCACGGATGGGGTCCAATCGATCGGTAAATCGACCAAGTGGTCGATCAATCTGCCCTGCGGTCCGGCTTAGCTAGCCTTTGATCGGTCGATGGGTCGCTCGATTGCTCTTCGTCCGTGTGGTGCTGTTGGCTCCAGGGCCGGCCCTACGAGTTATGGGGCCACAAACAATTACGGTTTGGGGGTCTCATAATCTATATATAAATTTTTTTTTTACTGTTTGGGGGCCCAAAATCTATACATATTACTGTTAAAAATTTGGGGGCCCAACACGAATGTTTCACCCGGCTGTGCTCAGTTACGGCCCTGGTTGGCTCCCATCGACCGGCTGGTCGATCAAGTGTCATTCTCTCTTTGGATCATCTTTCTTTGTCTCCTCTTCTTCTCTCTTGATTCTTCCTTGACTTGTTTGATTCATTCACTCTCTTTTGGCTCAAAAATCTCTTAAAAGAACTCCAAATCTCTTGATCCACTCCATGTGGTTCTTCTTCTTCACCCACATACCAATCCTCTGTTTCGGCATTTAATCTTAGACATTTTAAGTTTTGTAGGAGCAGTTGGCGAGTGGAAGTCAGAATCTCATTAATTCGAAAGCAACCTTTGAATCGGACTGAGCCTTGTGAGGCTTTGGGGTACAATCTCTACCTTCCATATGTTTTATAGGGATTATGCCCTTTAAGAGATTAAGAGATCGTTTCTCATCTTTATCAAGCTCCTTATGCTGGACTCAAATTATAGCTCCTGTTTTGACCTTTCTCTTTGCGGTACCTACTGGTATCCTCCTTTCTATTTTGGTTTTCTACTTTGGTTACAAGTCTCTTGATTCATAAGAATGCTTCAGTGTTATTAAAAAAAAAAAAAACAGCTTGAACCATGCGTAAGCAAGCATGATAAAGATGGCTAGAAGAAATCCAAAAGATCTTCAATGCCAAATTTTTATCAAAAAAATCATTGCCAAATGGCAAAACAACATCAGTTTTTTCTTTCATATGTCACAAATTGTCAAACAAAAATCAGTTCGCCTAATTATGCTTTTGTATATATTCTCTATCTATGCATATCAAAAAGAATATTCTCTATCTATATGATTTTTCCAATTTCCATCTAAAGTCTAACTATCTAATCAATCATCTTCTCGTCTCTCACTCGGTAGATAAGTTCAGTCGAAGCGTCACTCCCATCGATGCATACCCATGAGTTCTCACCAATTTTATCCTCAACGATCATTTTAGAGAGATGGGTGACAATCATATTCTCGATGTACCTTTGGATGGGCCTCGCCCCATTCCCCTACACATTTACAAAAAAAAAGTTTTTGTTAGTTGGTTGTTTAGTGTCTCATTGTCTGTAACTGTTACATACTACATACCGGGTCATGACACTTTTTTAAAATGAAGTCGACAGTAGAATCTGTCCATGCCAAAGTGATGCCCTTTTGCATGAGCCGGTCCTTAAGTGATTTCATTTGTCGCTCAGCTACTTTCCTCCTCACCTTGTGAGAGAGAGGCTCAAAGATCACTACACCGTCCAGCCTATTCAGAAGTTTAGGTTTGAAAAACCGTTTGACATCTTCCATCACACGTCCCCGGGCAACTGACATTGAAATCTCACTATTAAGGGCTAAGGCCAGTTTCTCTGCACCAAGATTTGATGTCATAATTATCACTGCATTCTTGAAGTCCACAGTCTGTCCTTGCCCGTCGGTTAATCTGCCATCATCAAACACTTGAAGAAGTGTGTTGAAAACTGCTGTGTGGGCTTTCTCTGCCTCATCCAAGAGTATGACACAGTACGGTCTTTTACGGACAGCATCTGTAAGCTGTCCACCTTTCTCATAGCCAACATACCTGAATAAAAGCAGAAACAAAAATCAGAGACGCTGCTCGAGTGAGTAAGTATGGATTGATTTGGAGAGAGGAGTAAGTAAAGGTTAGAGAAATAAGCTCACCCCGGTGGTGCCCCAATGAGTCTGGAAACCGTGTGTTCTTCCATATACTCTGTCATATCTATACGGATGAGTCCTTTCTCCCCCTGAAACAGAATTTCGGCCACAGCCTTGGCCAACTCCGTTTTGCCTACTCCAGTAGGCCCGAGGAAAAGAAACGATCCAATCGGTTTCCCTGGACTTCCTATTCCGGTCCTTGATCTCAGAATCGAATCAGCAACCACATTTACTGCTTCATCTTGTCCAACCACTCTCTCGTGGAGCTTTTCTGCCAGGCCTATAAGATTCTCTTTCTCGGTTCGGCCAATTTTAGAAACCGGGATTCCACTCATTTGGCTTACCGCCTCAGAAATATTAGCCGGTCCAACAGAGCTCCCTTCGAGTGTCACTCGAACATTCACACATGCATTGTCAAGCACGTCAATAGCCTTGTCTGGAAAATAACGATCTACACAAAAACACACGAGAATACAAGAGTTAAACATCAGCTGAACATCAATAGACACTACTACAAAATCAGACTAATCCATCAAACCTGTGATATATCGGGAAGAGAGTTGTGCGGCAAACACGAGAGCCATATCCTCTATCTTCACTTTGTGATATTTCTCGTACATGTCTCTCAGCCCGCGAAGTATTTCGATAGTTTGAGAGATAGTGGGCTCCCGCACGTTTACTCTCTGGAATCTTCTTTCAAATGCGGCATCTCGTTGAATGTAGGTTTGGTATTCTTCAATAGTTGTTGCGCCAATGCACCGAGACGAACCTCTAGCGAGCATGGGTTTGAGCATATTCGCAGCATCATTTGAACCGTCACCACCGGCACCAAGGAGAATCTCATCAAAAAACATGACGACATTCCCATTAGCTTCTTCTACTTCTTTTATAACACCTAGCAGCCTCTCTTCATAATCACCTCTATTCCTAGTCCCCGCTGCTAATGCAAAGATTCTTATACCTTGATTCTTATACCTTGCAGAGGTGTTGGAACATTTCCTAAGCGTATCCTTTGAGCCAACCCTTCAATGACAGCAGTTTTCCCAACCAATACAGGATTGTTTTTATTCTTCTTTAAGAGAACACGTATTACGTTATCGATCTCTGTTTCTCTCCCGATGACAGGGTCGATGAGGAGTGATGTCGCCACAAAGTCTGTTCCGTATGTGTGCAGGGCCAGAAAATTTGGTTCCCGGAGTTGTTTCACCACACGCATCAACATTTTCGGTTGAACAGCAGTTTCTTTCAAGGCTTCCATGATACATCTATCTTCAAGAAGACCCAAAATCAAATCTTCCACACTTTTGGCACCATTTCTCAACAACAATACAGCAGAGTTTTCAAGAATGCGTTTCTTCTTTTTCTTCTTTCCCTTCTTTTGTGCAACATCAGAAGAGAGTGTAGGAGGTTGAGACTGTATTTGTTGTTTTAAAGCTCTCTTAAGCTCCCTTTCAATTGACGAAACAGCACCTTCCCCTCCAAGCTTAGTGATAGCTTGAAAAAAAATTCCATTTTTATCTGAAATCAAAGTGGCCGCAAGATGCAGAGGACTGACTTCTGAATGACATTCTTCTTGGGCAAGCTTTTGTGATTCAGAAAGTAGTTTTTCCAAATCCATGATCTGAAAAAGAATTAAAAGACAGAACATAGATGATGGGCACTTCCAAAAACTATGGAACTCTGGTCAAGCCATGACGATGATCAAAACCTGTAAAAGATCGGGGAAGAAATATAAAAAATTGACCTTGATCGACTCGCGCCTCTTGTTGTTCCCGGCGGTGAACTCGTATCGTGATCTTCAGACACGGAGGGTTTTGTTTTAAAATCTCTTTGACCTTAACCGAACGCAACGTAAACCCTAAATTCGCGTCACCGGTGAGTAAAAGATTAGGGATGTAAAAAGAAATGTAAATGACACTTAAATTATTTGATTAATTTTTTTTTTTTTTTTTGGTAGAAATATTTTATTTGATTAATTAACTAACTCGTAAAATTATTGGCTTAACATCTCTAAAATTGAAAGGAAAAAAAAAAAATGGGGTAAACTCTGAATCTTTGGACTGCTACTGAGAAGAGGATCCCCACTGACTCAGTCTCTCCGATTGCTTTCGTGGTGGACTCGATTCGTGATTCCTGGAATTTTATCTCCGAGGTATTCAAATCTTCTCCTTTTGCTTTTCCACTAAGAGAGATTCCAATTTTGTTTTTGTAATTCACTCGACGACTCAAATTGCTCTTGTTTCGATCATCTTTATGCAAGAACTGCGGTTTGATTTATGTTTGGGGCAGGCACTGTCACTTAATGGCGTCATCTGAAACTAAAAGCTACGCAAGGAGAGATCGTCTTCTTGAAATTGAGGTAGCAGTTCGAAAATGGTGGGAAGATGAGGAAGTATTCAAACTCTGAATCTCGTGAGAATCTTCCTAAGCCAGAAGAAAAGTTCTTCTCCACTTTTTCTTTCCCTTGTATGAATGGTTATCTACACACTGGCCATGCCTTCTCACTCTCTAAGGTTGATTTTGCTTCTGCTTACCATAGACTAAGAGATGCCAATGTGCTTCTTCCTTTTGGTTTCCACTGTACTGGTATGCCAATTAAGGCTTCTGCGGATAAGCTTTCTCTTGAGATTCAACAGTTTGGTAACCCTCCTGTGTTCTCTGCTCAAGATGATACCATCAAGCAAGCTCCTGAAACTCAGGAGGAGAGTTGTGATATGCTGATAAAGTGTTTGAAAATGACATGAACATTGCTATCAGATTGACTGAAAAACCGTACAAAGATTGTTTGTTTAGGGAGGCACTTAAGAATGGGTTTTACGACTTACAAGCTGCACGAGATGAGTATGGACTCTCTTGTGGCAGTGGCGGTATGAACCATGATTTGATACTGCACTTCATGGATGTGCAAACACACCTCATTGAACCAATCCGTCCCCAGTTTGCAGAATATGTATGGAGGAAACTTTTTAAGAAGGAAGGTTGTGTGGTAACAGCAGGCTGGCCTACATCAGATGAGCCAGATTTGGTTCTCAAGAGTGCTAACAAATATTTGCAAGATTCTATAGTCTTAATGAGAAAGCTTCTACAAAAACAGCTCTTAGGTTCCAAGAAGGCTGCTAAGAAAGCTGCTCAAGTTACAGCAGTGCCAGAGGGGATGTTAAAAGGCCTCATATATTTGAATGAGCAGCTCGATGGATGGAGAGCTCACTGCCTCAAGATTCTGCCAAAGCAAATTTGTCCAACAAACCTGTCGTTTTGCCCCTGATGCAGAGATACTTGCAGAACGAAGGGAGATATTGCAGAAGGAGGGACAATCAGAAAACTTTAAACAAATTCAGAAGCTTTGCATGCCTTTCCTTAAATTTAAGAAGGACGAGGCAATATCTATTGGCCCTCAGGCTCTAAAGTTGAGGTTGCCTTTTGGAGAGATTGAAGTCCTTCAGAGTAACATGGACTTGATCAAGCAGCAAGAGGTTGAAATATATTCTGCAAGTGAAGTGACCCTGATGATGTTTCAAAAGCTGGTCCACATGCTTCACTGCTGACGCAGAATCCTCCATCTCCGCGCAATCCAACTGCCATCTTTGTGACCAGGTAAAAGCTAGTTATTTCATTACAATTGGTTCCTAATAGGCTAATAGAAGCAGCATGGATACTCGTTTTGTTTCTCGTCAACTAAACTGAGCTCTTTACTGCTCCAGCACAAATGTCTCCCCTCCAGTCTAAAAGTTCTACGGAATCATCTCTCTCTGCATATCTTCGTGTAAGTTAAATCTTTTTCTCTTTGACATTCATCTCCATTGTTTTCTCTATATAGTTTCTGGGTCTTTTTTTGTTGGATGTTATAGCTAAATCTGAATCTTACCTTGCATTTAGTCTTCCTTGACCTTTCAAAAAACTACTAGATTATCAAATCGAGCGTCAACCTGTAAATGGATATTCATAAGCGATATGAAGATTTTACTTTGGCAATAGAGGTGGACAAAATGTGACTTGGATGTTTTTGAGTTATCGTGGCTTAGGTGATATAGACTTCTAGGAGTTGTGGTTCATGTAATTGAGTTTTCTATTGGTGTTTGTTTTGTTTCTAAAAAGTAAAAAAAAAAAGAAAGATTCATTGATCTTAGGATCTGTGTATTATGACTTATTGTTTTGCAATATGTATATTTGCTTTCTAAACTGACTTTGAGAATGAGATCAGTGCAGTTTGAAATTTTTACAGTGGGATAATGTTTAGTTTATAATCTTATTTCTCGGAAGGAGTTTCCAGCATCCTCGTCACTTACAGCTTCCAATTCCAAGGTGATTTCTGATGTAGCTGACTTGGTGACTTCTTTGCTCTAATAATTTTGCTGCTTATTTAGAAATGCTTGCTTTAGCTATGTCATGTTTTTTAATGCCTATGTTACTCGTAACTCAAAACTGCGATTGTCAGAATATGCAATGGATTTTCTTTAAACTTAGGAGTTTCTGCCATTTATCATCAATGCTATATAAAGATCTCACAGGACTTTCTGCCTCAACATCAAAAACTCCAATATTAGTCAAAAAATGTTGTATAAGGAAAAGAGAATGAAGCAAACCCGTGTAAAAATTGTCTTTTCTAGTATAATTATCGGTCCAGAGAATCTAGAAAAGAAAACCGTCATGCCTTACTGTTTAAAATTATATTCTTTGCAGATATGTGATCGATTTATCAACCGCAAACTCGTGCAAAAATTGTATGACAGAATGCTTACTATCGGTCTACAAGGTTACGCGCAATTATATGTCTAAATTCTTGTCTTGTATTGTTAACTTTGTATCCTTACCTACTTTTGCTTGCTTTAGTTACATCTTTCTTGTTCCCTTACACATGGTTGTACTTGTAGGCACCATTCCATCATTTCTCGTATAGCCGATTGGGAAGGCATTAAGAAGGTGGGTTCTGATTTTCTATCTATTTGCCAAATCAAGTAAATTGACTTAAAAGATTCACCATTCATCTTGTGTCTTGTTTTAGTCACGTTCAGTTCGAGAGTTTGACAACTACGCCACCAGACTTGTTGCCAAATTCGATGTGCAGTTTGTTTCATATTCTCTTTACCCTTTGTTTATATATCCCCTCTTTCAGTAGAAAATCCAATCTTTAATGATGCAGACAACTGATACATACTATAGACGTTCAAGCAGTGCGCAATATGTGGGAAATGTCTCTGTTCCACTCCTTTGTACCAGTGCTTTGGACGATCCAGTTTGTAATAGGGAAGCTATTCCTTGGGATGAATGTAGGTAAGACCCCAGAGCTGATGGACTAGATTAATTTGTATCAAAATTCTGGTTGACCCAGTTTTACACCGGCTCTCCTATGTTGTAGCCTTGTACCGCCACTGATAAGTCTTCAGAAAGAGTACTTTAGCTGTTAAGCAATGCCACGTCTTCTCACTAACATTCAGAAGTTAGATCGAGGGAACAGTAGTCTAACTAGGGGATTTGAGAAGATCTGATTATTTGGGGAATTGGTTTTCATATGGGAGAGTAGGAGATGCTCTAGAAAGTCTTTCTTATCTGGTTTTGTTGTTGGTTTTGTTCTTGAGTTGGTAATATTTCTGTTAAACGGAGTTGGTAGTTTCTCTGTTATATTGAGAGTTTCATTTGTGGCTAAATTAGGAAGTGAAACAGCTTTAGGCATTGTTGGCAAAATTTGATGAGTTTCTTGGTTGTATCTTTCAGTAGCACGCTGCGATGGGTCTTCATGTATCATGAAACTGATATTCCAATGTCTCAAATTTTGCAGGGCAAACAAAACATAGTTCTGGCAACCACAGCGTCAACACGCCGAACAGGGCCATTGTAAGCTTCTCTCGTTCGTTGTTTCTCTCTGTTGTGCTCTCGTTCGTTGTTTCTCTCTGTTGTGATTTCACTTATAATTGCTTGTCATGATCCCTAATCTCTGTTTTCTTTGTTTTGTGCAATAAAACTCAAGTAAGAACAAAAAGTATTTCATAAAAGGTTACTTAACATTTTCTCTGAGACCCACGCTTCTTTTATCTCCAAAAAACACTACTTACTGCACCTATTCACCTACTGCATTACCAACTCCCACTTACTACATCTACATAGCTACTGTTACTAGGCATCATTATATCTAGATTACAATCTAATTTCACAAGTAAACAAAAAGTAACTAAGTTATAGTTACTACAACTTCCTTTTGTTGTAAAAGACTTGTTCTCTTCTTCCAATTCACTTAGTTGGTTTGACAACAAAATGATAAAGGATGCATCCACAAAGTTATAATTAGCCACCATAATGTCAACCTACAATGACTTCTTCACACAAAAATAGCATTCTAGAAATGGACCTTGTCACTAGTTAAAACATAGGTTTAAGTAATTTAATGCCTTGAGGTACACTTAGCATTCTAGAAATGTACCTTGGAACAAAACTTAAGAACAGAGCTTTCCTCTGTTTCCCAAATCAGCTCCAGGATGATCGACTCTCCTATCTTCACACCGTTAGCGTAGCAGAACTCTTTCCAACCTCCCACCAATCTCATTCTCTTACGTTCCACCTCAAACCACAGTTTGATAGACCACTTCACGCCATGTTTATCCAACAGACTCATCTTCTTTGCCTTTACGATGTCATTTACCTTTGTGAAAGGTATTGGAAGCACCTGAGAAACATTCAAACGAGGGAGACAAGAATGAAGAATCAATAAGACCTGTAAAAAGAAAATTAATGGCTTGGTGAAATGAAACTAACCAGTTTAGATTGTTCTATGTTGTAAGGTGTAAGAGTTACTGTTACAAAACAGTTCTTAAATTTTCTTTTTGTGCATTCCTGTGAGCTTCTCTCGTCTTGGTTAGTTTCAGGTTCTGATAAGCAATCTTCTTCTTTTAGCTCTCTAGGGGATAAACGTAAACACAAAGTTGCTCCTCTTTGGATGAGTTTGAAAGTGAAGGAACTTCCAGCTCTAAGTCCATTAGCATGACAAAAACTTCTCCATCCTCGTCTAATGTAAGTAGTTCCACATGATTTCTTTCGTTTCAAATCTACAGTCCATGATTTGCCATTTTCGTTAATCAGAATCATCTCTCCACATCTTGTGTCTACACCATTTGCCCTCACAAATCTCATTGGAAGATTCTGAAAATTCATTACAATACAACATCAATTTGATTTAATTGTAGACCCTAGTATAAGAGTTTCTTGAGTAGAATACCAGTGAGTCATAACGTATATTCGAAGATGTGACATTAGCCACGAAATAAGAGAGATCTAGTGAAGACTCTGCTTCTTCTCTTGGATTCTTTCTCACTTTCTTTGTCCTTTGATTATTTCCTGAAAAGAAGAGACTAAATCCACTATATGAGCACATCTTAAATATAAGTTAGATCCAAACATTGTCACGTGGAAAGTCATGTCTCTCTCTCTTGTCTGAAAACAACAATGTCATCGATACGAGAGTAAACTCTTTCCAACCGTTTGTGAGTCTCTAGCCATCTATTTTCACTTTCCAGGTTATGTCGGAGAGAGAGAGAGAGAGAGAGAGAGAGAGAGTTAGATCCAAACATTGTCACGTGGAAAGTCATGTCTCTCTCTCTCTCTTGTCTGAAAACAACAATGTCATCGATACGAGAGTAAACTCTTTCCAACCGTTTGTGAGTCTCTAGCCATCTATTTTCACTTTCCAGGTTATGTCGGAAGCAAGGAAGAGAGATTACCAAGTGGCTGTGAAAGCAAGGAAGAAGAGGCTTGAAGAAATGCTGATTCGCCATTGCCAAAGACCCTAAATCTCTCAGCCTTTACACTGCAATATCAAGGAGGAAAGAGTGTACGTAGTAAACACAACATTTCACGGTGAAGAATCAATAAGACCTATAAAAAGAAAATTAATGGCTTGGTGAAATGAAACTAACCAGTTTATTACAGAGATAAGTAATATGCAACATCAACCAAAATATAATTAGCAAATTAAGATTCCCATTGGAAGTGATTGCTTTCCCAATTGTACCACATACATCTAACAAACAGAGACAGAACATATGGAGTCCAGGCCAGGTAGTCATGGAGGATCAATTACCATATCTTAACTAACTCCATTACTGGATTATTAAGGTAATGGTGCTTAATGATATACTAGTGCTTCCTTCCACCACATTTTACACTCTGGAAAACAATAAGCACGTTCAAGAGTACACTCCAAATGTCTGCAAATCAGATTGATTTCAGAAATGAGCTGATACGGAACTGCCAAATTCTAACTTCCAGTTCTCACTCTGATAAGAATTGATTCTAGCTCTCACTATATCAAAAGCGAATACGGTTCTACTGTATGTATCATCAATGATCAAACAAATTGAGAATCTGAGAGAAAAAAGAAAACTTTTTCTCACCTGATCAAGCACAGTGTCTGTGATCATATCCGCAGCTACTTCCTTAGATTCAGAGATCACAGCTAACTCCTCGGACACCCACTTCCTCCCGGCGGGAGGAGACACTATCTCAGCGAATCTCTGCAAATCCCTTAGCTCCTTTAGCATCTTTTTTGCTACCTTCTACTTCGCCATCGCAAGCACAACATGATCCATTGTTTCTTCATTCACATAAACCTCAAAGGTGATCTCATCTTTACAAGGTACCACCAAACTAAACATCCTTGACATCAAATCATGTCTGCTCTTAAGCTCTATAGCAGCCAATACCTAGGACCACTTGCGTAGAATGTGTACACATTCAAAGCTCCTTTAAGCCACAATGGCGAATCTTCTCCTTCACTAACTCCAAGCAAACTGAAATTCTTCTGGAATATTGTATCCTTGGAAGCGAATTTCGCCGCCCAAGCTAAAGCGAGACTCTCGTTCTCACGTTTACCAACGAAGTAGTTGAGTGCGAGTGCGATTATGAGCGATCTCCACCGCGTACCACTTGTTCATTGGAACTGTAATGTTTTGAGCTTCTGAGGAAGTCTCTGGATCTAGCTTCTGTAAATCAGCAGGAGTGGCGTTTTCTGTAATTAACGGAGACTCTAGCGCCTCTATCTCCACTGGTAGTCCTTCGAACGGCGTGGGATTTCTGGAATCAGATTGAGGCGCGTGGTCTGATTCAGAGATGAGATCGGAGTAATTTTCGACGGATGAAAGTTCCGGTTCCAGATCGGGGATTGATGAGTGAGACTGAGTGAAAATTGGCTGAGGGAGGGAGTGGTGGATGTCAGAGGAATCGTCGGATACATCGTCGTCTTCAGCATCAAATCCTTCGAATTGAGAAGCTGCGACAAGACGATGGTGAAGTGAGAGGCACCAAGAACCATTTTATAAGTGATGATTATTTTTTTTTGTTTCTTTTAAATTTGTTTGTTGGCCAAATTTTTGACAAACTTATTATGAAGTTAAGATGACACTCTTGATCACAATTTAAAGACTGCTTTTGAAATTCTCTGGTTAAGTTGACCAAAAATGTTCGAAACTTATTTTGTTCTTGTGCATAATAGATACTCTGTTGACATTTCATATTTGTCCCCAAATAACTGAGTAAGTTTCGACGGCTAGAACTCTAAACCCTTTACTGCGGCTAGAACTCTAAACCCTTATTTTGTTGTTTTCAACGGAATAATTAAGAAAAACATCGATCCTTGGGCATTTTTAGACTAAACAAGATTCTTTGTGTTGTCATAGCTTGGTTACATCACAAAAGGAAAAGGAAAGTCGAGATTTTATATGACCCTTAAATAATTAGAAAAGGAAAAAAAGGAAAAGGAAAAAAAGGAAAAGAAAAAAAAAAAGGGAATTCCGACCAAAGTTGAATCCCTTATAAATAAATACACACTAAAAAGAAAGGAACCCTAAAAGCAGATCTATTCAATCGTATCATCATGGACGGCGAAACATCCTTCACCCACGAAATCGACTACAATCCTAAACCCGAAGATGCTGGCACAATCAAAATCTATGCGAGTATTGTTGGCGTCGTTGATCATGTACTAACAACGTACCCAATTATATATCGTTCCGCCGACGATTACGATGCAGCTTATCGTTCTGGTGGCAACCAACTTCTGAAAGACTTCTTGAAGGATGCTGGGATTGATACACAGGTCTTGTGTGACCTCTATTTATGTGTCGATGAAATTGTGTTTCTCTCGGGTCGGTATACTCCAGATTGTGCTTTGTCTGTAAGGATGACAATTGATCCCATTACTCCTCAAATTGAGCAAGAAGAGGAGGTTGTTGCTGCGATTCCACCAGTCTCATGGAATCAGACCAATAATAGACCCGTAAGCAAGCTCGCTCTCATGTCCCTAGACCAGAAAATCTACGTCAAGAACAAGAATAGCTCTAAATGTGATGATGCCACTTGCTCTATTTGTTTAGAGGAGTTTACTACCGGAAAAAGACTAGTTATCTTACCATGTGGCCACTTGTTTGATGCTTTTTGTGTCGCCGACTGGTTTAGTATCAACCATGTTTGTCCATTGTGCCGGTTCGAGTTGCCATATGAAACATGAAACCGCTGATTGATACAACTCCCTAGTGTTTTTTTTTTTTGGGCTAAAGTGTTTTTATTTATCTTACAAGTCAGTTTGTATTAAAATGACAAATTTTTCCATTAACTTGCCTTTCCATTGTTGGGTGTATACAGTCATTGACCTTTTTCGCTAGTGTTAATTCACCAAACAAACCTTTTGTCAAGGACCATGGCCATGGGTTTTATACTCTTTCACTAATTAAACTGTCAAATATAAAAAAATGAACCAAGGACAATCAGTCTTTGACACTTCTTACGCTATAATTACACTATTACAACTCCAATGCTCAACGTGGAAGAGGAAACATTTGATTACTTAGCTTTTATAAGCCTACAATCTCATACAAGAAAACTAATCTATGCACACTACTTTGTTCTTTGCATCTTGATGTTGAGATGGTAAAGTCCTGAGAGACTTTTGTATAATATTGACGGCGAATAGCTTATTGCAGGCTTATTCTCAAGTAGGTTACAAGAAAAAGTATTAACGGCATAAGTCATCTTCTATATAGTTACTTTGCACTAGTAGTGGAATATGATTTCTATTTTTCGATGATCTCCCTAAATCTTTTCTTGATTGATAACAACAATGCAGGTCCTAGAAGTGGCCACGTCGTTACTATAGCAATGTATGCCAATAGCCAAATCGACTTCCGGCTGTATCTCGAAAGCTCATCCACCCTCTTCTTCAAAGGACCAAGTAAACTGCTATAAACTTGTGGAGTATTGACCTTATGTGGATGATTACTTGTGGAGTATTGACCTTAAGTAAACTGCTACGCAACAAGATTACTTGTGGAGTATTGACCATCTGGTGTAAATTTAAGTATCTCCTCCCAGATGCCTTGATCGAACATCTGAGTCCAATCCAGGAATGTGAAGTCAAATGTAATAGTCAATCCAATACCTTTCTTCGAATTTGTACCATTTCATAAGTGTTTTTTGCAGATTCCACAAGTAAACGGTTAGAAGGGTATTTCATATGTATAAGTCAATTTGTTATTTGGTTCATATACGTTTCCATGTTAGGTGCGTTATCAGGAGATAACAGCGGAAACATCGTATTTGGACAAAGTGTTGTCAGAAGGTGTGGACAGAACCACATAGTTAGCGGATGTCTCAATGCACAATATGTACCAAGCTATGAGGAGATAGTGCCATTTGATAGTTGTGGTCGAAGTTAAAAGAAGAGAGTAGAAGAGTTAGAGTTGTGAAACAGTTAATTTTTTGATACTTGTTAACATTTCCCCCTGCATAAATGTCAGTATTAGTACAAAATTGTGTCTTATGTGAATCCAATCTTTTAAAACCACACAAACTTCTCAACGATTCTTAATATATATTCATTACATGGATCTTGCTCCTCTTATGTTTGAAAAGTAGTGTCTATATTACCAAGTTTCGCGCCATTCCTCTTTCTTTATAATTCGCGACCGCATAACAACATACCAAATCAACCACTGCCATAAAGATGATCCGATCCTCTGTTTGCTTCCTCGTATAGTCGTATGTTCTTGAACTCAGATGCTGAATCAACATTAGGATTTATCCCCGCAAGCTTCATTATGTTCTCAATCTCTTTCTCAACCTCACCCATCGATGGCCTCTCCTCTCCTCAGTTTTCACAATCGGGCTTTTACTGGTTAATAACTCCAGCATCAACACTCCAAACGCATGCATACACATCGGTCTTCTTGGACAAATAGATTCTTCATGTAGTATTCGGGATTTTATATAGCCCTAATTGCAGAGATATTGTGAGTTAAGATGTATGTGATAAAGAGAGAAATAAGCATGATTGATATCTCTACTTACCATGGTTCCTTTCATTTGAGTTGACTCATGAGCTTCTCCCACAAGTGTGGATAGGCCGAAATCTGCAACCTTTGCCGACAGACTTTCATCAAGTAGTATGTTGCTGGATTTAACGTCTCTGTGTATGATCGGAAGCATTCTCATGGAGATAAGCCACAACCCCTTGCTTGCACCAAGTGCTACTTTGAATCCTTCTTTCCCAATCCAGATATATGAATCCCACTCTTACCTGCATAATTGCGTGCGTACCCAAAATCTGGATTAAGAGTTTAGAACCCTAGAATCACCGAGAAGTTATTAACAATCGAAAAAGTAGTTCTCTTTCTTTTCTTGTTCTTTCTTTTTTCATCAATCGCCCTCTATGTTTGTTTCCTCTTTTGTCGAAACGAAACCATCTTCAAAAATTCCAGGAGAATAACGAAAACTCCAAAAATTAAATTAAAACACAGTTACTAGGCTTATTAGAGTAATGAAAACACGGTTACTCTCTTTCGGATATTGGGCCTTATTGGGCTTTCCTAAAACATTAAGACAATTAGACTAATTAGTGGCTTAATGATGAAACTAAACATAGTTTACGAAGGTGTAAGAGTTACACTGTCAGTCTGTCATGAATCAGTTTTTTCATGGCAATGAAAAAAAAGTTTTCTATATCAATTTAATTTTGGAAAAAATGTCATTTGAATCCCGAACTTTAATTATCGTCGAAAAAAAGTCTCAGTTTTCAAAATGGTGAAATAAAATCTCAAACTCTTGTGGGATATCCAAATAAATCGCAAACTTTGTCTAATATTGCCAATTTAGGCACGAAGTTAAATCAATTCCGAGACAGCTCGACAGATCTCTAATCTCTGACGCCTCTGTAAGCTTCTCTCGTTCGTTGTTTCTCTCTGTTGTGATTTCACTTATAATTGCATGTCATGATCCCTAATCTCTGTTTTCTTTGTTTTGTGCAATGAAACTCAAGTAAGAACAAAGAGTATTTCATAAAAGGTTACTTAACATTTTCTATTGCCCCTAAATTTATTCTGGAAATCTCAAAACCCTCTACTAATCTTTAGTACCCCTCGTTTTAATGAAATGACGAAACTACCCCTTTGATATTTGTTAAATGAATTTTGAACGCCTTATTTGTACATACCAATTATACTGGTATCCCCTAGTATTCTCTAGTATTACCCGGTATTACCCTAGTATTACTATCTCCTAGTATTACCAATTATACCATGTTTACCTAGTATTAGGTGGTAATACCTAGATATACCCTAGTAATACTAGTTACACCCCGCTTAGTGGAATTCGAACCATGGACGTGCGCGCGGAGCTCGCTACCATTGAGCTACTGTGTTTTCCGTTGAACACTTACCGATTTAATTATATTTAACCCTTAACACCCGAAAACAAACTTCATTAAGGGTAATTTTGTCTTTTTACCATTGAAAGAGTTTTGAGATTTTCTTTTCCCTTATAAGGGCATCTCAGCCTCTGTCTCGACAAATATCCTTTATCTCTGATTTTGCTCCTGTAATTGTAAACCAAAAACCAAGCATACATTATTATAAATATATATGCTGCAATTAATATCTCTAAATGCATATTATAATTTTTTTAAATAAGTCACAATGAGTTTTTTTTTGTGGGAAGAGAAAGAATCAACGAACATTCGTTCGTGATGCTTGTAAAAATTTTGAAAATTAACAGTGGATAATGTATATTATATCGTAAGTATAAACATTTAATCTTATTTATGTAACTGACAAACGAGTGATCAAGAACATTAAAACGATAGAAACCGCAATGAAAGAATATGGAGATCTTCGAATATCCATTAGTTGTTTCTTTGAATTTTTTTTTTAATCACTAATATCTTGTGAAGTGTGGATGTTTTTGAAGTAGTTCTAGAAATTTGAAGCTTCTTATATAGGCAAATTCTGAAATCTGAGTCATGCATATATCTATTAAAATGTGATTGTCTTTTGCCTTTTGGCAATAAATTGAGGTGTATTAAAAGATAGATTTGGAGTGATTTTTATTTAAATGACAAATCCTATGTTATTCAAACATAAATTATAATATGTATGTTAAAACTAAATGTTATTGGATTAGTGATTTGAAAATGAATAATCAAATCCACTGTTACGTAAAACATTTAGTGGATTTGAATGATTTAAGTGAGATTTAGGGGATTTTTTAGTTAAAAATAAAAAGATCTAAATCACATGGTTTTAGGTAAGATTTTATGAAATTTTAATAACAAATTTCCTAATTCACCAAAATCATTTCAAAACTCATTAAAACTCAAATCACTCTAAAATCTAAATTCATTGTTCAATACACTTAGTTTAAAATGATTTTAACTGTTTGTATAATAAATATTTATAACTGAACTAAACATGAATGAGTTTGCATGAGTACTGAACTTCTTTTAGGTATAAGAAAGATTATGATCATCTTTAACAAAGAGTAATTTAGGTTTGTTCGGTTGTGTGAGAGTAATGTTAAGTCTGTTTAGAGCTGATCTGTTTTTTTAGTTAATGTAATTTGCTATTGCCTTTCTTCTTTTTCATAAATTTGTCCTTGGTGGGAGATTGATATTTGGACCAGATGTTATGTGGTGCAGGTTTTTAGTAACCTTAACTTCAAGTTTCAAGTTTAAGACTTTAAGTATTTAATGTTTGAATTTGGTTTTTAGACATTATTATCTTTCATTATGTGTTATGACTTTAAGTGTTTAATGTTTGGACTTTGTAAGATTGAACTTCAACATGTCTCGGATTTACATTTGCAATTTAGGTAATTTCAAAATTATTTTTGAGTTTTTAGGGTTATTTAGGGTTAATTCGGTTTATTTCGGGTTAATTCGAATTATTAACCCGAACCGAACTGGATCCCATCAATAAAAATTTTGGTTTATTCTCGAGTTAAAAATAATTTTACATAATCGATCTGAACTCAATTAAACCCAAACCGAATCCGAACCGAATACCATTCGGATTCTAAACAGTTCTATCCGAATAACCCGAAATCCGAATAAACGTCCAAACCCAAAACCGAACTCCTAGGCCAACCTAAAAACATTAGTTATATTTATACTTATAATATCCGAAATACCTAAAATTACAATCATAAATCCGAATATACTAGGTATTTTTGAGTAATTCGGATACATTTGGATATATTTGGTTAAAAAGTAACTAATGATGTAGTTTTCTTTTGGGTAATTTTAGTATTTTTAGATATTTTTTGTTATATTTGGGCAAAGAGTAACCAATGAATTTTTGAGAAATCGGGTATTTCGGTTAGATTTGGGTATATACGAGTAAAAAACCCGAACCCGACTCGAACCCGAAAATATTTCGGGTATTTTTTGGTTATTTTCGGGTATTTTGCTTTTTTATTAAAATACCCGAACCAAACCCGAACCGAATTTTTAGAATACCCGAATAGGTCTCGACCCTCTACCCGAATAGATCCGATACCCGAAAAAAAGAACCGAATCCGAACGGGTACCCGAATGCCCAGGCCTAGAGAGATATCAAATAAACAGTCCCTTGTGGTATGTTTCTTTGACCTTTTCATGAATATGACTTTACAGCTTTTGGTATGTTTCTTTGACCTTTTCATGAATATGACTTTACAGCTTTTAGTTTTCTAACTTATCTATTATTTACTAGTCTATATACGTTAGTCGCAAGTTTGCAATCTGTGATCTCCTAATCGCCTCTTTCTTCTTAAATGAGAATTACCATGCGGACAAGCAACGGAATGTGATTTTAAAAGGCACACAAACTTAATCAAATGCAACGTATATATTTTCTTTGGTGAAAGTGATTGAAATATGTAATTGTGTTATAGGTAAAATTGTATAATTGAATGCATCTTATATTTTACTATTACTCTATTAGTATCACATATGAAACTTTTATAACTCACAAAAATGTACATGTGGAATATGTTATCAGGTTTAAACATGTGTATTTTATCTTTGATAAGTTGATGAAGATCTGTTTCCATAAACAAGAGGCACATAGAGATAGTTCAAAGACATTAATTTAATTTTAATCAGATCTTACAAAGTGAGATTTTTTCAAAAAAAAAATCTTACAAAGTGAGATTGTCAAGAGGCACGTACGTAGGTAGAGACAGTTCAAGGACGTGGGATGTTCCTTGGTGCCCAAGGAAGCTTCTCTAGGTCAACAGATAACTCTCTCGCCAAATAATGACCGTAGTTGATGTAATGATCCATAATAATAATAGCTTAATTCTGTGAAGAGTTATTCTTTTGAGAAAAACCAGACGGGTCAACCAACGTTATTGGGAACCCGGTTTAACTTTTGGTTTGTTATAGCACTTTAAAAAGAAGAAGATTGATGACTGGCTATGTATTTTTTTTTCTCCCTTATAGCTTTGGAATTGTTGAGAGTGGGCATAATTAATAGAAACTTTATGATAATTCTTTTTCTTTCGCTTCCCTCCAAATCTTGTTGATGGGATTGTGTGATTTTGATTGATAGACTTCAATTATGAATGTATAGAGAGTATTTGCGAGAAGGTGAATCCAAGTCGGTATTGTTTTTTTGTTGTTGTTGTTGAAGTAACTAACTAGAGAGTATGATCGCATGGTGTTCCATACATATAACATATGTGAATGGCCATTTTTTAACTACTTTGCATGTCCTAAGCTTTTCATTGTGTACTGTTTCAGTGTTATAATTTTAAAATTTATGGGACAATCAACATTGTTTGTCCCACGTTCCACCTAAAAAAGGGGGCCGATAATTTAAGGTTTGGGACAGATTGTTGGGTATGTTTCTTAAATTGGGCTTTTGTGAATAAATAAATGGGCTTCATTGCCCAAGTTTATTTTGACGTTTTGAGAAATTGTATTTTGACGAAACTCTTCTTCTTAAAAGAATAAGTCAAAGAACGTGACCACGCCGCAGTTCTCTCTGTTTGGTTTGCAACGGTGAGGAGAGATAGGTCATTGGATCTCGGATGTTATGGCTAAAATCTTTGATGAGAAGCTCGATCTTGTGCCTATTTAAAGGAGAGTCTAGTCTTCAATTTCATCATGGAGATTACATCTCTCTCTTCTATTTTCTTCTTCTTCTTCTTCTATATTTCTGAGTTTGAGTTTGAGAGCTTCATCTCTTTTGGGTTGAGTGCACAACACAATTGAGAGCAGAGTGAACCCTGGAGTGAGCCGTCTTGGTTATCTTGCACACCGGGATTAGGCGGTTTTTCGCTCAAGTGCAGTAGATTCTCTACGGCTCTGCGACTTTCGTTCTTTGTCAATTCTGGTTGTAAGCTTTATTTCCAACACAGATCATTGATACCTACAATAATTATTGTCTAATTCCAAGTTATTTGTCTAATCTTAATCTTATATGTAAGGAAGACGCATTGGCGTTAATTTCCACGATTCAATGCAACAGTGGCCACAACGCAATGGGACAGTGAGAGATTTCTCTTTTGTTCTGCATTTTGATTCGGACATGAAATCTAAACATCGATAAAGATGGGACACGACGAAACGTAGAAAGTGGCAAACAAAGCTGATAATATCTAAAAGGAGATATATCAGATAAACAATCCCTGGCGATAAATTCTCAAGTCCTTTTGGTACCTTTTCATCATATGAATTCAACTTTTTTGTTTACTTTAATATTTTGGGGGATGAGTGTGAGAAACTGAAAATGGTTTTAGGATTTATACACATAGTAGGAACTTCGCAATCACGATTTGCCACACCACTGCTTTTGAAGTGACATTATAATGTGGTCGACATAAAAAACAATTGATTTCGAAAGTCATACTTAATCACATGGTCGCAACATGTTTTCATATACGAAAAAGTAACAATATTCGTGGAATTCAGTGAAATATGTGTAATTATTTGCTTATAGGTTCATTATGATTTAAGTATGTATAAAACTTGTGGTACTTCGTTACTTAATTACTTTTAAAGAATCTTACATTAGTATTAATGTTGGAACTTGGAACATACTTTAAAGGGTTAATATATACTTGAAACATATGCATAACCTTATTTTTTGTAAACGTTAAACTATCATCTTGAAAATATATAAGTCATTTATTCATCGCTAAAAAGTAATCTATTATACGAGTCAATAATTCAAATCATTCAACCATAAATTGATAAACGTCACAGCTGAAGAGAAAAAAAAACGTCACAGCTATATTTTGATATGTCATATGTGAACTATCAAATATTTTGCGTTCGTTCTGCATTCACTAACTAGGCAATCAATCAACAATTAAATTGTGTTTCATAAACTGGCGAACGATTAAAACACTAATATTTTTATCCGTGGAAAATTTTAATCGTTCACCAGTTTATGAAACATGTTGTCAGAAATAATTGCATAACCAACGACGACAAAACGAATAAGAAGAAATCATCGTGTTATCAAATTTGTAACAGTAGGTAACAGTCATACATGAACATAAACATGAAGGTAATCAAATTTGTTTTAAAAGCTTTTAAAATTGTTTTATGTCTTTAATAATATTTTCCATCAAATAGCACTCTAATGTGTGTGACTTTTTGAAAGGATGTTTTGTACCTTTCTATTAACGAATCTAAAATATTCCCGTTTTGTTAATTAATGTATATGGTTGACTTAATTATAGAAAATGAAATTTAGTAGTATACTTCTATTATGCAGACCAATTTTTATTGTTTTTCAAAGAGCTGACGAAAACATATGGACCGATTCTAATCTCTTATTTATGTACTTTCACATTAATTAGCTTCTTGATATTTCGATGGCCGTAGATAGCAACTTGTTAATGTTACAGTTGGATTTAAATTATTTAAATTTTATCAAAGAGAAAATCATTAAATATACAATCAATTCTATGTGTTATGAAAACTGATAATCATTGATATCATCATCTGTCAAAAAAACAATGTGCAATCTATATATCAAAACTAACGAAATTTGAAGTTACCTAATTCATGTTAGAAATTACATAAATAAAATTAAAAGATGTAGTACATCTTTTATCTTATAAATCACAAGTCACTTGGCCAATAAGACTTTGCCACATAGATTTTACTTTTTAATTAAAAAATTAAAATAAAATTTTCGAAAAACGTAAAAAAGAAAAACACTACCCACGTTCTTAACAACCTCCTAGATATGTGTTAACTTCCCAGATTTTTTCAACCCTTTTGCGAAAAATAAAAGGTTTACGAAACAAAATCCACTATCTTTCTCACACCTCCACGATCACCATTCACTAACAATTTCTTAATAACTATCTCTATTCTATCATCTATATATGTGTGATGTTGTCTGTCGATTGCTCCACACAAAAGAAAAAATAGCAGTTTTTCTCCTAAAATCCACAAACCCGATGTTGGCATGCAACGTCTCTTCTCCGAGTTAAATAGCTTATCCATTTAACATTCCTTTGTTTCTATTGCTCAAATTTTCGGGATTTCACACTATTCTCAACTTTTTTTACTATGGCCTCTGTTTATCAAGCCTTGCTCACATGCAAGATTTATCTTGGAAGAACGTAGGGTTTACTTCTCTTTCAAAAAATCTGAAAGCATGAGAGACAAAAGATTCAAGCTAGATGTGTATACATTGAATTTCACGTAAGTATTGTATTTTATTATTTTATTAGATTAATTTTCTTCCTACTTCTAATGTGTATTCTTATTATTATTTTTATCAAAATAGAAATGGAATATATCGAACTTTTTCTTTTATCTCTCAGGTTACTCTCTAAAAATCTTTATTTTATTATTTTGTATAACAGAAATCAAGAACGAAGGAACAAAAAACAAGCAATGGATCATACATGAGCCATGGCATATTTTTTTTTTTTTGGTTTTATAGATGATACATGGAAGAAGTTCACGTGAGTATTGTATTTTATTATCTTATCAGATTAATTTTCTTCCTACTTCTAATGTGTATTCTTATTCTTATTTTTATTTTGCATGGTTGTCCTCTTTTGGTTTATGTCTGTTTTGTATCATTGCTACCTACATAGCAACTACTCTCTCCGTATTTTAATAAGTGTCGTTTTAGGATTTTCTTTTTTTAAAAATTAGATGTCGTTTTCAAATTTCTATGCAAAATTTTTTACTTTTTAATGTTTTATGACATCATAAAACATTAAAAAGTAAAAAAATTTGCATAGAAATTTGAAAACGACATCCAATTCAAAAAAGTAAAAATTCTAAAACGACACTTATTAAAATACGGAGGGAGTATATGTTTATTGGATTATTATATATCTACGTAGAAAAACTGGAATTGTTTTTTTGTAATAAATATTTTAACAAAATAAAAGCATATTTCACTATTGGCACATAATAATTGAAATTTTCATAGTCCAATTACGCTCGGTGTGTTCTAACGAAGTCATATATAATTGTGTGAAATATTTGCAGTCCAAACTAGAAAAATTCTTCAGAACTGGAGAGCAATTGGATTTTCCATCTTATAGTAATGTTTTGCTGCAAGAACCACAAAAAGCGTATATCATTAGAGTTTTAGACCATACAGTTTTGTATTTGTCTAGCAGTAAGTATACAATGGTTGAGCTGAAAATCCAATATTGTTGCTTGGTTTAAGCTTATCGGTTTTGAATGTCTATAATATCAGAATGAGTAATTTCTTATAATTTATTAGTTAACTTCTGCATATTTAAGCACATTGATCACTATAGTCAAAATTGTTATAAAAGAAACATAACAAGAGGTAACTAATAAATATAGTGATATCTATAGCTACATAAATCTTCCACCCAAGTAAAATGAATTTGAGAAAAAGATTAGTAATCTACTATACATTTTTGCAGCAGTTTTTGGGGTACCCAAATCGGGTCAAATTTGTTTAATTTTGACCCAGAAATCTTCAATCGGATCTTTCCTTAAATTTTGGCAAAATTAAAAAATGAAAATAATTAATAAAATCTAAAATATATATACTTTCTCAACTAATTACTATATTTAAACGCTTTATTTATGGTATATTCTCCACGATTTTTATAGATAAAGAAATCAAATATGATGATTTAATGCTAATATAACAAATTTGCACTAATTTCCTAAAACCTCTCTACCTAATTTAAACATAAATATATGATTCTTATTTCACTTTTATTTGATCTTATATTTATATTATTTTAAATTATTATAAAATATATAAATAGTTAGTAAATTTTAGTTTTTTTTTTCTGCATATGTTACAATTCAAATTTTTTAAAACGGACATATATTACTCAATCGATGAATAAAAATATGTGTGTAATCTATATTAACATTTTTAAGAACAAATTGAGCATTTAATCATGTCGTTATTTTATTCAGACCCGAAATTGAGTCATTCAGATCTTTCTTTAATTTTTACAATTATCTAAAATGGGACAGTATATCACGGGTGAAATCCTAATTAGTATTTTAAGATACAATTATAAATTGTTTTTACGGGTTGGTCCAAAAACACACACTAATTTAAAAATATACATGGAAACTATTTGAAAGCAACTTTCAAATTAACTCGAATTATATGACATTTAAATAAAAGTGTTATTAAAAAAATAACAAAATGATGTTTAATTTCATTTTAGATTATATGGTTGGACGGGTTTGGGTCAATATTAATACGAGACAATATACCACAGGTGAAATCCTATAAATAACAAATCAAAATACAATTATACAATCTTAAACACTAAACAAAACAAATACAACTTAAAATTTTTTATTTTAAATACAACGCATGTGACCCGCGGTATACAAAAAAAAAATATTATACACAATAAATTCATCAATTTATAAAAATAAAAAAATCAAATAATTAACCCGCGGTGTACCGCGGGTCATATCCTAGTCATTGTAATATTGTAATATAACTCAAGTGTGTGTATGTATATATATCAAACAAATTTGATTTGTTGTCTACGAAAATATGACACTACATTGAATATTAGCATGAATTCCGGTTATCACTTTTGCTATAATTCATATTTTTTTACCTTAACTTCATAAATTAATTTTTCCGTACGCAGTACGGGAAAGAATACTAGTAATATAAATAGTAAAGGAGATAGTTTACTCAAAACACAAGATCTATCAACTAATCTCTATTTGACATTCGTTTAGCGGATACGTAAAAAAAACTATAATAGAGTTTGAAAGAGACCAAAATTTGTGAGAGAATATTTCTGAAAATTTCAAATATTGATACGTATGTGTAATTCGAATTAAGAACATTAAAAGACGAAAATATCAGCATTAAAACCTGTGATCATATAAATTTGAAACTCAAAAAAAAAAAAAACATCAGATATAAAACAAGGGCATAATCGTCATTTCAAAACCACGTGAGGTGCTGAAAATTCATCTTTTCAAAATTCAGTTGGTGGCAAAAACCCAAAGACATTCAAAATTGTCGGATAAGTTTTTTAATTTTTTAAAATCACAAAAACATAACTGTTAATTCTTCTGAGACAGAGAAAAAAAGGAAAAAGAAAAGAAATTAAAATTATAATAATAGTAATAAACATCAGTTTCTTTTTCTTTTCTTCCTCCTTTTTTTTCTTGTGAAGCAGAGAAAAAGTTGTATCATCTTCACTCCTACTTTTTGCGATATTCTCTCCAAAATTTTTATCAGTAAATTGAAATCTCTCAAGCAGTCTCCATTGCTACTTGTAGATTTACACTC